TCCAGTGAGAGAGAAACGCCTTGTTGATGAGAAAGGTCAGAGGAGAATAACCAGTTGGGTTGGAGCTGACAGAAAGGCTACAGTAACTCAGATAACCACTCTTAACAACTGTGGCGAGCAGAAAAGCCTCTAAGAATGAACATGTCAAACCTTGAGGCAGATGGGAAGAAGCCAACATCAGGTTCCACTTCCTGTCGGCCACAAACAGAAATCTGAGGCTGCAGTGGGCACAGGTTGAACTAAACTGGACAGTTGAAGACTGGAAACACATAGCCAGCTCTGCATAATCTGGATTTCTGCTGAGGCAGCAGATGGTAGGGTCAGAATTTGGCATCAACAGCATGAATCCATGGTCCTGCCTCGTGGCAACAGCCCAGGCTGGTGGTGGTGGTGGTGGTGGTGGTGGTGTAATGGTGTGGGGCATGTTCTCTTGGTGCACTCTGATACCTCTGAATATTGGTGCATCGTTTTATGGCTACATTTTACCACCTTCTAATGGCTACTTCCAGCAGGATAATGCTCCACATCACAAAGTATAAAGTCATCTCAAGTGGCTGTCAGTGGCCTGTCCAGTCAACAGATCTGAATCCAGTAGAACACCTTCAGGATGTGGTAGAACAGGAAATTGGCAGCATGAATGTGCAGCTGACAAATCTGCAGGAACTGTGATGTGCAATCATGTCAACATGGAGCAGAATCTCAAAGGTATTAGTATTAGTTTGCTGTTCCTCCCAACATTTGAATTTATTTAATGTTCCTCAGTGACAAAGATGCAGTGACATATTCCTCTTACCACACTGGGACCTTCTGCTTCTCCCGCTCCCTCAGCTGTCTCATAACCTGTGCCAGAAGCGTCACTGACCCCCGACTGGAACTGACTTGTCCGTTCATTTTCCACCATGTCTTTATCTTCTATAATATAAATATCATGCATCTCCCTCTTTCCCTCTTTCTCTCTTTCTGTTTGTCTATGCACCTTAGCAGAACGAAACGGCACAGGGGAGAATAGTTGATCGATCGCGGATGGCGTAATTCTGGCGGATTAAAAAACATAAAAATGTCAAAATGAGTCGGCGAATATACGCGGGCCGGCGTTAATGTACCCGGGCGGCCTGCCAAAGTAAAGTCTATGTGTAGGAAACCCTGCTGTATCATCAAAAACAACCGTAGTCTACAAGCAATGTTGCCAAATTAGACTTTTCAGATCCCTTATCTAGAGGCAAATCTGGCGACTTTTCGATCAAACCTCAGCTACTTTCCATAGAAGAGCCGCCAGTACTGCCCCGCAAGTAAGAGGCCTCTCTGCACAATGAGTGGCAAAGAGGCGGAGCAGCACATTCAGTCCAGATCTGGAGGAATCTCTGAGTGATAATTTTACAAATAAATATAGTCGATATCACAGCACAGTGGTTGTTTTTCGTGTGTTTGGTGATTTTGTCGGACGACGTCGCGGTTACAAAATCTGAATTTGAGCAGTGCAGAGCAGCAGCTCGGGAGCGACTGCTGGTTAACATGTAGTCTTAATGGATTTCACTCACTATTTCATACTCGTCCCATTGTCTGTAAAGTCAGAGCATCCCTGTAACTGAGAAATAGCATCTTCACTCCAGGACTTGATTTGTTTTGCTGGCACCTTCAACTTTGGTCTGTCTGTACACCACCGTCACAAAGGAACTCCCAAGGAACACAGGACAGACAGAGACAGACAGCAATTGGATGTTGCCTGTGTATATGGACTCCCCGTGGGTGATGTTATTTCACCACTACACAGACATCACCACCTTGGGGTTTCACTGTAGCTTTTATGTCCTTATCCAGCCTGACAGGCGCTCTGAAAGCTGCTCTCTGTCTGATCCGACTTGTCGTCTGTAGACGTGAACCGTGTCTCACTGAAGACCAGAATGCAGGCGTCTCTGAATACATGTACACGGTTGACTCAACTTAGTGGAGTCATTTTTTTCCCCCTTCATGAGTCTTGTGCCCAGAGTTCTCCATATTTAATTGTTGGACCTTCCTAGAATATTTTCTTGGTGGCGTGGTTGAGGTTGGAGGCCCTGGGCGCGAGCGATACAGCCATAAAGTTCAAAGTATAACCGCGTAAAGTGTCTCCGTTATGACCGCTTGCGTAAACAATCATATACAGCGCAGTTGGGCACAAAAACATGGTAAAAACAATCACGGTGGACAAATTTAAAGGACGCAGAGGCACAGACACAAAGACACCACAAGAGCAGCGCCTCCAACAAGAAGCCAAAAAATAAAGAGTTGGATTATCCTCAGAGCTGTTAAATTTTCCCTCATTATCAAGCTTATTTTCAGATATGGCTGCTCTTCTTTACACAGGCATCAGTACATCATGTAATAATGAGACAGATTTTCAGAGGAACTCGCTCTTATTTGAAGAGTTTCATGAGTGTTTTTAGTTCCAGGGAGAATTTCTAATTGTTAAAGTTTTTATGTTTTTTTTTTGTTGCAAGTTCTGCTGCTCAGGGTTTAGAGCTGTTTACCTTGAACCATATTCTTGAACTTTGCATTTTAATCACGTTTGTTCCTCCCTGAGATGCTGAAGGAAACTGTCTGAAACTGCTGCTGCGTAAACAGCAGCTCCCCTGTGCTCCCTGTTTAGATATAGTGGATGTAATAACACCTCTCAGTGGTTAATATTTATTCACTGTGTGCACTGTGGGCACAGCATTATATTTAATTAACCTTGCCTGACCGTTAGATAAGGAAAGCAAGGTGTTAAATTATGTGTGTGAACATGGATGTGTAGTCATGATTTCACTTTATTTATTTATTTTATATAGTGATCATTCAAAGGCTTTATTAACATATTTTTTTAAATCCTTCTGACTGATTGACCCACGAATAGGGAATGTGAGCAGCTTGGTGCATTTACAAATTTAATAATGATTCTGACACATACTGCATTCTTGAATGAATTAAAATCATTCTTCAACATTGTTGGCTGGAGAGTTTGGAGCCTTTCCTACTTCCTTACCTGTGAATCCAATCATAATGTTAGAAGCCTGTGCCAACATCAGTGTGGACCATCAATAACCCTCATTACCAAACTTTTTTTTTTTTTTTTGACAGGGGATACTCTTGAGTCTGTGTATTGTTATAAAATGAAGGAAGAAGGAAATAGCCAAGGTGTCAAAGATGATGAAAGGTTTTTTTTGATGGCTGCAAAACGTCTAAAAGCCATATAAATGCATGCTGTGATTAAGTGAAGGAGAGTGGTCCTTGGGAGGAAAGAAGACTTTTTCTACAAGTGGTGTCTGCAAGCTGACATTTTGATTCATGCAATATCCAGCAAATTGTTGGTTAGGTGGTTTCATGTTGTTTGTGAACTCTGAATTCACACACCTGAGACATTTCTCACTTCCTCCACATGGAGAGAACTGAGCCTGCGCTCCATCCCTTCAGGGTAGTGAGCCGTTCAGGACTTGTTGGTGCTTTTTAGAGACTTGGCTGCACGGCTCCTGTTGGCTGAAGTCAAGTCAAGTTTGCTGTGTGTTTTCTGCAGATATTACAGCAGCATGTGAGTCTGACGGATATTGTTGTCAGAAGATATCACGGTGACACAGGAAACACATCGACACAGTCTCATATGTTGCTGTTGTGATGGACATTTTAAATTATTAAAGGCTGTAATTTAATGGCATTTGTTTGGTTAAAAAAAAAAAAAAAAGAACCTGATATTGCTTTCTTTTTCCCCATGAACAGCACACCTTTAGTCAGACAGGTAGAACAGTAGATAACAGTGAGGATTAGAGTGGTACCCTGCAGCAAAATAATAAGTTGGTGTTAAAAACAAACGGTGCATCATCAGCTATGGGGGACTGTATCAGATTTGGAGATAATGACACTAATGAAGTAGCTACTAATCACTGGCAGGCTGTGTTTTTACAGCAGCGGGGCAAAAGAGACCATTAACACAAAATATTCTAATGAAAGGCACAGAAGACTATAACACGTCGAGGGAAGGAGTGCTGGCATGTTATAGATCAGGATGGTCTTTGCTTTTAAAATCAAAGCTAGCCCGAATACTTTGGGGGACTGACTTCACACTAAGGACGTTTCCACGCCTGCCGTGTTTGGTTCCGTTCAGACGAACTCTGGTGCATTTGCTCATTTCTTTCAATTTGTTTGGGCTGGTGAGAGCTGTCAGCTGAAATCTAGCGCAAAACTAAACCACTGGTCCAAGACAGCCTGAAACGAAGGGTATTGGCCCCACTTCTAAGTGGTGCACTTTGTGGCGTGAAAGCAAAGCACAACAACCACAGGACTTTGTGATACTCTGTCCTCGTAGATGTGTTAAAATTCCAAAACTACCGTTTCATCCATCTGCTGATTATGAGGCAACCATATAAGCAATCTGTATAAGCAGGGTAAAGAGTAGCCTGCAAGATCATTGTAACCATGGTAACTTGTATACACGTCAGAGCGAGAGTTCTAAATTAGTCAGAAAAACAAACAGTGTATGAATATGTGCTGTAAATATTATTAAAGTTTCCACATCACACTTGTGCACTTCCAGACTAGTAGTGATGTCACAAAATCATCTGGTGTGTATGTGTCTTACCACCCCAACCCCCCATCCCCACCCCACCCCCACTCCCCAACCCTTCTCTGTGATGAATGTAAAAACAGCCTTTTAGCCTCGAACTGCACATGCATCATTCTGCACAGTCGTTACATACAAGTGAAGCGACATTAACCACAGCGCATTTCTGAGTCGAGGGGGGCTTTCAGACTGAATGCAGAACAGATATCAGTCATGATCTTGGTTTTGATTGAATTTCACAGCAGAAGCATTTTTACATGTGTTGGCATTCAGTATAAAACAGTTCAAAAAAGTGTTTTTATTGATGTGTGTAATGATACATTTTCTCACACCGAGTGAAGGGGTAGATAAGGAGGAGTAGCTCATCCTCACATAATATGCTGTTTACAGTCTTCTCCTGGTCTAAACTCAGTCTCTCTTTTTCTTCCAGTCTCTGTCAACAGCATGGGCCAGCATCTAGGAAAGAGGGAGTACCCCACAGACAGCAAGGTAAGAGGTCCTCACTGTACTGTAGCCGTTTTAATGTCTTGATTTGTGCATGAGGAATAACAACAATAATAATGGTGATGGGAATACACGTGTAAGCATTTTGTCGGTTGTGATCTGGGAATGAAGCATGTGTTGGGAGAACTTTATTGTGACCTTATCAACGTGAACACCGGCCCTTATCAGCAGGACTTTGGACTGTGTTGCAGACAAGCTCAGGCTCCTTCACTCAAACTGATTTATTACCTTCACTGAGCCTTCAGTCAGGCTAGTAAACCACTTCACACCGTGTGTGTTTTGAATCTCTTTTGAAAAAGCTTACGTAACACAGCACAAAGGTATTAATGCATTATGTGCAGAATGTTTTTATTCATGTTTACAAGTGATTTGATTGCCCATGTTTTTATGGTTTACAACCACTTACTCTGTCACCTCCGGTGCTCTGATCACAAATCCACGTTGTGTGGTAGTCACAGCACCACAGCCAACACTTGAACTCATCCCTCAAACATTTTGAGGAGTAGTAACCTATGAATAATGCACGTCTCATGCAATGCATGTCATGTTTATAGGATGAATTTTATTGAGGGGCTGACTTTGTGAAGGTTGAGTGGACAATGCTGTTGGATGAAGTAGTTTTTAGGTTTATGTTTATCCATTATTATGACAGGAGCAAGGACCATGTACATTGTGTATAAAAAAAATGTTAGTGAAGGATTTTATTGCGAAAATCCTGCTTACTGACCCATTTTGAACTGTCAGCTTTTTTTTTTTTTTAAGTGTTTTTGCATAGAAAACTTTTCAGAGGTTAATATATTGAATTTTAAACAATCGCTTTTCTATAACCATCAGCGGCCCACTCTTAATCAATGGCTGGTTGTCATGGCAACACCCGATGCATGATGAGTCTCCATGGCTCTTGTGCGTCGCCTTATAATAACCCCTTGAAACCATGAGCCTCGTCACACCAACGCTCGACAAGAGAACCCATTCTAACTGGGGAGAGAAAATAAATGATCGTGTGCATCAACGCTGACACTAAACCCTCTCCAGGTACACATCTCATTTAACCATTAGCTCTGGCCCCATGATCATCAGGACTCAGCTCTCTGACACTGATAACTGACCATCCATGTACCTGCAAATCATTATTTCACAGCAGCAACATTTTGTAACCTCAGAGGCCCATTTAGGAAACTGAGATTGTTCTTGTTGTTTTATGTTTCAGTGCACTTATATCTTGTATTGCTGTTGAGTCAAATCTTATGCTTAACAGTAAACTGGATTAAAGTCTCAGACAGAGAGATGTTGTGCCTGGTTAATGGATTGCGTTTAGCTGCTGTTCTAGGAGTTTCTTCTTGTCAGTGGGCAAAACTGTGGGAACAAGAAGAATTATCTCACTTGAAAGTGTCAGGGTGAATCAGTGAGTTTACACTCCAAAGTTGAGAAAGCTTGGGCGCAAATTAAGTGCAATTTTCCTCTTTTTCTTTCATAACAAACAAAGTTATGTCAAGTACCGCACAATAGGCTTTTTTAATTAGCGAGGAGGCAAGGTGCTCTGCTGTGCCCCAGAGTGAGCACTTGACCAAGAAGATCTGCCTCTAAGAGCGCTGTAATTAAATAGAGCAAATATGTTTGAGAGATTTTTTTTTGACTCATCTTTCTGCAGAAATTAGAGACCAGACACTGCTCCTGGACGCCGAGAGCGTGGAGGAGGATCATGCTTAAACCAGGACAGTAATGTAATTTAATGACATCATGCAATTAACCCCCAGCCTTGTTCAAGTCCTTTTTTTTGTGACAGCTTTTCAAAATCAAAGCAGATATAATGAGTTTGGACCATTATGGCTGAGGCTGCAATCAGATTTGTAGAGGATGCAAACTTGTTGTGAGCAGAGCTAGAGCCACCAGTCTGTGAAGAAGGAAGGAATAGGGGGGGGAGGGGTCAGTGTTTGAGGCTGTGGGCAACAGCACAAACCTGCAGTTTGCCTGTGTGGTCTGGTGCATGCAATGGGCGGAGTGTAATGTTGGCGTGCTGGGGAGGAAGGGAGCCCTAACCAGCAGGGAGGCTGATGGCTCAGCCCACAGATGATTTGTTTCCTTTGCCTGCAAAGCACACTCAGGAGAGAGAGAAGCAGCAGCCAGAGAAGTGGATTAATTAGTCAAGTGTGAAGCTAACAGGAGAGGTGTTAGGGCTGAAACAGCTTTGTTTATTTAGCTTCATAATTACACTGTATACCTCTCTATGTCAATTATTCTTTTTTCCTATTTCTTTTTGGCTTGATTATTGTGACATCAAAGTCAATTTAAAGGTCTGGCAAAACAGCTAGTTGTCATAGTGACAGTCAAGCAGGAACAGAGCGTGACAGAGTCGGGCAGCTTGTGTTTAGATGCTGTTGTCTGAGTCGTGATCCCTCACCCAATTTCGTATCAGTTAAGGAAGGGTGAAATGTGCCTGTACCTCTCTGACAAAATGTTTTCTCTTTCAACCATCTGAAAGCTTGACACTGCTGATATTTTAGAGCCTTAAATCCCACTTGGAAACACAGGATAATAACACTGGCACTGCTCCTCAATTTTTGTACAAACAGAGGCACATAGCTAGCTCAGACATTCGTAATGTGACTGTGCTGGCTGTGGGCATTGTAAGATTTTGGAAGAACTAGAACACCCAATGGATTTAAATTCAGGACTAGAGTATATCCCCAATGGCAGGAATGTTCAACAACAGGATAATGAGGAAATGCTAGCCCTGGTCCTCCACTATATTACCTGTTTCTCTGGATGGCGGTGAGTCAACACTGAAGTATGTAGTGTAGTTTGCTCAGGTCTTGCCAGATTTACTTGTGACTGCGAGTTATAGAATCTTCAATAAATAAACCCATGGTAGAGGGGTCACTCAGTCACCTTGTGTGATTCTACAAATTGCATTTTCCTTTATGATCTAACTCACTTGGTTGACAATAAAGGGAGAAAATCAACAAATAATGCATCCACTGTTTAAAAAAGATCCACTTGCTCCATATGGTGTTTGTGCAGGTTATTAGCCAACCAGTGACACTTGAGATATTTCCTGCCCAACTACAGTGAAAGGATAGTTTGTTTTTTTTATTGGCTATCTCAGACATCAGCAGTGAACATCAGGATGTGCTGTCAAGGTCATAGTACATATTTGTTTTTGTCTAGACTATTTTCTACTGATGCTGAGCAATCAGAGAGAGATCTGTCACAACAAAGACAGAGATAGCAGTTTCTTCACTGACAAAAACATAAAAAAAAAAAAGACCACAGTGCAGTGCAGCCAAAGACATCCTGCATTTTGATTGAAGGGCATACAGTAACTATCGCTTTTCTCAAGTTGACTTGAAATACAATTTGAAAAAAGTGACTCTCTCTGGCTCTTGTTGCGTGATTGCTGTTGCTGTAACTATCTACAATGCTCTTACTACGCACAGTGGGTCCAATAGTCTGAAACCACTCTCCTATTCAGGTCAATGGGAAAGTGGTCTCTGACACTTCAACCCCACTGTATATGTATAACCCACAGTACAGTTCAACTTCTCAGATGGTGTCACAAGTCATTTTGGGAAATGTAGGAAATCACTAGAGATGCAAATTAGATAGCAAACAATTCACATGATAAAAATGCTTTGTCATTTCTTTCGTTTTCTGTCTTTTGCATGATTATGACACAGCTTTACTACTGAAGCTTCTGAAATGAAGACCCATGTCTCCAGATGAGGGAGCTTGTGGCTCAGCTTGTAGCCCAGCAGTGTTACCATTGTACCCAATTAAAGCACTCTGTGTATTGTGACCAGCCCAGCAGGCTTATCCCTGTCTCTCCTATTCCTCTGTGTGAGATCTGTCCACAGTCACATCTGATTCATAACTGCACTCTTCCCATCCCGTCCCAAGTCTTAACTCATTTGGTTGGCACTGTTGCAGTGTTTTATCCAGAATAACCATTGCTACGCACAAGCACAAAGTAGAAACTGGGATTCTAATGTTCCCTGTCTGTATATGTTCTTTTGCAATAATGTTTTGTCTTTTATTTGAGTTATCGCATGCTGTATTCCAGGATGCTTGCCAAACTCATTGGTTGGAAAAGCAGTCAACTGAATCTTCTGAATATCATGATGCTCTCAATGACCTTGTACTTTGCAGACACAAACTACGAGCTTTAGAAAGGCTTAACCAAAAGAACCACTCAATTTTTGAATGTTATCTTTCTGCCCCGTGGGAGTTTGACACTTATTAGATAAATTGAATTACCATCTTACAGCTCTAAATAACAGATGAATGTTAGAGATATTTGATTATCCTCTTGACATTTGATGAACATTATTACTATATAAATGTAGCCTTTTGAAGGTAGAGCTATAGAGAACTCCTCTGCATTCAGTGCTGTTTATACCTCAGTGAAAAGGTGAGATGAAATCTGAAGGTTCCATTTTTCTTCAATCTGTTGAAGTGTGGATAGAGTGAAAGACTTGAGGGCACAGCTATCACCAAAACCACAGATAAGAAGAGGAACTTGGATTCCTTTTGAAAGTACCAAATCAGTCAAGGCCTGAAAGGTGTTGAAATCACTGCACTCGTCTTCCCCCTCTCTCTACTCGAATGCAAAGAGTACTTAAACACGTTGAACCCCATCCCACCTGGTACCCTAGTGCTGAATGGTGGTCAGACAGCTGAGTGGAGCTGAAGAGGCACCCATCTTGGCTCTAGCCTGACACACCCAACAAACAGGCAAACACGCTCACAAACATTAGCCACCATTTTCTCTGACTCAATATCGTTTAAAACAGCTGAAACACTCAAGCGGTTTTATGAAGTGTAAGTGACTGTTTGCTAAGCCATAACCCTCTGAGTTACTGTTCCTACACTTGTCAAGCTTTTCATTCTCACACGGCACATGTGCAGTGATTAAGGTGGCAGATTTACCTCTCGAAATTCTTACTAATTTTAGAAACAGCAGGTTCTTGATTTCAGGCAGAGATATGCAAAATCAGGCTTCTCGTTTGTAGCTGAAATTACAGGTGTCATGGTTTAAAAAATAGAATCTTGTCAAAGCCTGAGGCTAATACTGCATGTGTCAGACATGGATATAAATATTTTTAATGTAGTGTAATATCTAGTTAATCTTGGCATTATGTGAAAAAATACAAGATTAGACTGTTATTTCCTTCCAAAATTACCCTGTTTGGCTGCTTAGCTCACATATTCACATATTAAAACAACATATTTTCACACTAATGTTTCAAAAGAAGAGCGTTTTAGAGGGCTAATGTGTAATGCTACCTCGGGTAATTTTGGCTAGTCATTGAAATGTAAATTTCCCCGAATCCAAGCACAGGACAGAGCTTGTAACATTAGGCCAAACTGAGAGCGGCAAGGGTCAAGTTGTGACTTATGACCAATGAAAAGCACGAGATTTTAAAAATGGCAACAACAAGCATTGTGACATCAAACAGCATGCATCAACTGATCAAATACAAGTTTATGTGTTTGTTTGTCTAAATACATGAGCCCAAAGATGCATGTCTGGTAAATGGTTGAAGCCATTGCAGTTTATGTGGGCATTTTTATTTTGTTATATCTTTAGATAAGTCTACAACTAAATGGTAAGACCCATTGTTTTGGACAAAATAATCGTTATGCAAAAGTCCACAGTAGTTGGAGCTCCTCAGTCCTAGGCCACCCCCACCCCCCATTCCATTTCAGGAAGTTGGCAACACTAACCTCCACTCAGTGGGGAAATGTGCCATATGTGCTAGTCTTGTAACCCTATCATTGATGTAACCTTAATGATAATGTAATGATGTGCCCTTTGGCCCTGGAAGAAGTGCTTGGTTAAGTGCTATGGCTAGTAAGCTAGTTAGTAGGACATGCTAAGTATTGCAACTTAAAGAGCAGACAAACACACTCTTAACTCTTGATTTGCAGAGTGTCACTCTTATTGTAGCCCAATGCACACCGTTTCAACGTGTGAAGAAATCCAGACCTTGACAGACCTGCCGTGCCTTGAGCATTTTCCTGAGTTGGTTAAGGTGCACAGACTGAAGAGGTCATTTACCCCTTATTGTCATCTGGGTGGAACCTCCACATTAGGGAGGTTGTAATGATGGGGTAAAATGGGTACATTTTTGTTATTGTGTTCCATAATTCATATAAATATGGCAAAAATCGGAAATCTAAAATACCATTAGGCTCTCAGGAATACATGAATAATTGACAAGTGTGATCCTAATTGAGCGGCTTTCCTGATCTCCTTTCCAGCCTCAAGGTCACTGTCTCCAGCACCAGCCACTATAGAAGCTCTGCTCAACTAGAGCTATATTTAATAAGCCACCAGTGACGAGTAGGTGTGAAGTCATGCTGACAGCTGCTGCCCAAGGACGGCATCGAGCTACTGCTCTGGTTCACTTGGGAAAAATTGCCCACGTTTTTTTTCTCCTCCATTTACTGCTATCGCCCCATTTGCCAATAATGAAGTCCAGATACCATGGAGGAAAATAGTGTAATAATTTTGGTTGCAGCAGACTAAAAGGTGTATGATATACTGTATATGGATACAAATTGTTATTTATCCTTAGTTTTGTTTACCATATTTCCAAAATGCTTGTCTGCAATGCTGTTTCACTTATGTCAAGGTACAAATAGTTTGTTTATTAAAAAGGCTTTACCCAAAAGCTCCATTTCCAGCAATTCTATGAGTCGCCTCAGCATCCAAAGATATCAATTCAACCCAGTCACCATCAGTTCAGCTCCTGAAATGTGGATTTGTTATTTGTACTGAAAATTTTTTACGCTTCGGAAAAGTGTGTGGCTGAAAAAGAAGATACAGTAAGACAGCTGTGTCTATGCATGTGGGAGTGCATGGACAAAATCCAACAAAGGTTGGATGCTGAGCGCTTTAATGCTGGAGAAAATGCTAATGTGCCAAACTGCAGGAATACAGTGATAATGACAGTGTAAGTTTTATCAGAAATTCATGTGCACCTTCTTAATCTGCATTGATTTTTCTTTCTCTCTGCAATAACAGCCTTTTTTTTTGTTATACACTGGAGTAATTAAAGCTTTTATACATGTAAAATGAACCTTAATTTAATAATCATTTTTAATGGCTGATGTAGGGTAAATCCCTGAAAAATGGGTTTCATGTCATTTTTTTCTTTATAAAATTCAATGTGATTCATGACAAAATAAGAACTTTGATTGCGATGCGATCGACTGGTCACACAACCCCAGAAAATGTCATCAGATTGTGATTCAGATGTTGCTAGATCCTGATTGGTGCAGGTTTAACTGAGCTCCGCCTTCTTCAAAGCAGAGACAACTAAAAAATGCAGTAAATCTGTTAATTGAAATAACCAAAACTCTTATAACAAACTTTGGCAGAAAATGGTGTGTTCGTGTAGGACCTCATCACTCATAGTAAGAAAAACTAGATTTTCAATGATCTTTAAGTCAAAAGAAATTTGACGAATATGTTTTTTTTCTTCAGTTTGCGAGGAGGATTAAAAGTTAAGAGATGAGGGTAGTGTTGCCAGATTGTTAAAATGTTCGGGTTTGTTCAGAAGTAGGTTGCACAAGCTGCACTCAGTTTCAAGACATACATTTATTTGTATCTACATGATTTGTATTGGTAAGCGCTTGCTCACCACACTTGTCCACAGGACTTTGTCACATTTGCACTTGTCTACTTGCTCATGTTATGATGAGCCACGTGCACACCGTGCCTGCGTTGATTCCCCATGCTGCCAAACCCACTCGAAAGTGTAAACCGGATTTTAAAGATTGTAAAGAGGATTTTATCAAATTTGAGGATTAGCAAATGCAAATATTTAGTTCACACGGAGCCACTAAATAGAAACAAGTTACAGAATCTAACTTGTGATGAATGGCTGCCAGAGAAATAAACATGGCACAGGTTGTTAGTTTTAGTGCCAATTGGTATAGAAAATAAATGACCCAGTGACTCACAAATGCTAGTACAGGTGGGTATAACAATTTGCTTGCATAATGTTGAAGTTATGACTTAACCCTAACCCTGAATCTGAGCAGATCTGGCAGTTGGAGCAGAGTTGCAGAATCAATTCTTACACACATCGGAAAAGCTTGATAAGACAGAAATATGTTATTTTAATTATTTAATTGTTGTTGTAACAGGTAATTATGTCATTTACTCACTATGTTTCCAAGATATTCTGGGTCAACCAATGTAACATCACACTGTTGTCAAAACTTTACAGGGCACATATGACACATCAAACATCTGGTCATCTCAAGTTGTTGATCCGCTTCGAGTTTTTTGACAATTTCAGTTTTTTAATTAGTTCCGTCTTGTTTTATTATACCGTATGTCAAGCGCCCAGGTTCCCCTCTCTTCTCCTGCAGCTGGCTTTAGTGACAACAGCTTAAGAAACTTTTGAAATGTTTCACTGAACGGGTAAAAGAATGAACTGACGATTAATGATGGTTATTGGTGCTTACTGACTTTTGCTTTTTTTTTTACTGTCAATTAATGGGATTTTAAACAGGTGCGATCATGAAGCAAAACATTTTAATTAAATCTCAGAGTTTGCTTCAAATCAGTCCCTGAAGGAGAGATTCACCTCTCACCTGATACAAGGAACTAGTCAGTCTCAGAACAGACAACAGCTGTCATCTAGTTTGACTATCCTCTGCAGATTCTTAACAGTAGCCTTTTCACCTCAAGGGATCAGGATGGCAATGTTACGAATGAATTTACCTGCAGATTGGCAGATTGTTACTTTTCAACTACCTCCTCGTCTGTTTTCTGATTATGTTTTTGCTTCATTCTGACACAGAGCTATCCTTTTGAGGAATATGAAACACGTTAATTGCTGATGCATCCTCCTCTCTCTCCTCACTTTGTTGGTTTAAATAATCACCTATAGACCGCTTTGTCTTTTTAACACAGTAAGAGCTTAATGGATTGTTTTGTGCGTTTCGTCATCAGTGCACATCAAAGTGCAGTCAGGGAGAGCTCAGGTGGGGAGAGACCGACTCAGCCAGCAAAGAAGAAAACCACCATGGCTAAAGCAGTACCTGTGCCGGAGGGGGACCAAAACAGCCTAATGATCATCATGCACTTGCACAAATGCAACCATGTGAAATTTGAATAAATAAATGGTAGCATATGGAGCCCTTTCCTGATCCTGATGAAACATACAGTTTAGAAGTGGACTCGGAAATGGGCAAATCTCAGTATGTGTAGTACGTGATTCAAAATTTGCAGCAGCTTCTTTTGAATATTAAATGAACAGGTCTGAGAATAATGCTGCTGTGATTATAAAGACCAAAAGCCTAAATGGGTGTAACGATCTCTCTTTCTCTCTCTCTCTCTCTCTCTTGCTATCTTTCTCTCTCTGTTGGTCTCTGTCTGTGCATTGTTGCCATGGTACCTCAGCGCCTCACCTCTTTAATCTGTTTTTGTGCTCCTATTAAAGGCTTCGTCACCCGAACCCAAAGCAGCGCAAACAGCAGCAGAAGCAGCAGCAGAACCTGAATCACAGGATGAAGTCTTTGGTAAGAGGTTAAAACACATCTTGAATTTGATTTTACATGCACTTTGTAATCTGTTTTTATGCTTTAAATAATGAATCAAAGAGAGTTAGTAGTGAGCATAATCAGACAAATCCTCCACTGTTGAGCAGACTAAGGAACGTGTTCCACCTCAGAATCCCGGCCACCATTAACAGACACTCTTCTAGAGTTGTTCCGATCATGATACTAGTCTCGGTAATGCCAATCCCACACCACATAATGCATTTATAAACTGTATACTTTCACACCCATATAGAAAAGAAGTTTTTCCAGAAATCAATTCTTCTTCGCCGCTCTAAAACTGCAGCCTTCCACTGCCAGCCACTCGCAACTACTGTGAAAGAGCAGTAAAGAAAAATTGATTTCTGGTAAATAGCGTTAGCTGTTAGCAGAGGTCACTAATAGCCAGTGTGTAAAAAAGAATTCTATGGCGTTCATGTATCTGTTCATGTTTTACAAAGGGTTTAACTTGAGCAACGCTATTCAACAATGACGGCAATAATATCACATCCAAACAGGGTTAGTAGTATAGAGCTGTTACATTTTATTTTTTAATGCAATTGGTGTCTGATCAGTACCCGTTCTGGTATCAGAATCAGTATTGTTGAGGAAAAAATGGTATCAGAACATCTCTAATCTCTTCTACTGCTAAAAGTGACTATTCTTCAGCTGTCAGGATGCTGTTTTGTTTGAACCGCTCCTGTAAAAGCCTTAGCAGCTTCTAGGACGTGTATGTAATCAGCGAATGTGGGCTAGCGCAGAAGGACATTGGTGTACAATGAATATAAATATACAGTCATTAACACTGTCATTTAATGATGGTGACAATTGACTGATTAGAATTATTCATAGCTGTTTCAAAAAATGTTTTTGCTATTTTCTCAGGCAGTCCTTAGTCATAAAGCACTGAAATGTGCTACCTGAAACGACAGCTTTAAATCCACATCGACACAGTGGCTCCTTTAACCCAGCTATCTTGACTCAATATCTGTTTTATGGCAACAATGAAAGGCTGCTGCTTCACAATGCTAGGCTCAGAAGGTGCTAATCCTGCAGCGTGACATTTGTTTGCACTGAGCAGTCTGGCTGGTGAAAAGTTGGCACTTTCCAATGATGAATGAAACTTAGTTTGTGGAAGTCAACTATTCCTCATAATGAGAAAATCTCATAGGTCAGGGTAGCATGCTCCCCAGAGTTTCATTTCTCTCAGGTTTGCTCTTTGAGAAGTTTTCCCTCAGCCACATTCATTGTGACGTGTTTGGTGTTGGAGGGACAGGAGTTAAAAAGTTCTTTTGTAATACTCCAGCTCAGCAGATGAGGGCAGAGTCTGATGCACAACGGACGGCATCTTTAGGTTGGCACTGAGCTGTATGTTGTCAACGCTAGAGTCTTTTACAAAATGGGGTGATTATCCCAGAGGCCGGAAGAAAATTACAATTGCTTGTGCAAATTTGCTGAATTCTTCTTTTTTTTAANATCACATCCAAACAGGGTTAGTAGTATAGAGCTGTTACATTTTATTTTTTAATGCAATTGGTGTCTGATCAGTACCCGTTCTGGTATCAGAATCAGTATTGTTGAGGAAAAAATGGTATCAGAACATCTCTAATCTCTTCTACTGCTAAAAGTGGCTATTCTTCAGTTGTCAGGATGCTGTTTTGTTAGAACCGCTCCAGTAAAAGCCTTAGCAGCTTCTAGGACGTGTATGTAATCAGCGAATGTGGGCTAGCGCAGAAGGACATTGGTGTACAATGAATATAAATATACAGTCATTAACACTGTCACTTAATGATGGTGACAATTGACTGATTATAATTATTCATAGCTGGTTCAAAAAATGTTTTTGCTATTTTCTCAGGCAGTCCTTCGTCATAAAGCACTGAAATGTGCTACCTGAAACGACAGCTTTAAATCCACATCGACACAGTGGCTCCTTTAACCCAGCTATCTTGACTCAATATCTGTTTTATGGCAACAATGAAAGGCTGCTGCTTCACAATGCTAGGCTTAGAAGGTGCTAATCCTGCAGCGTGACATTTGTTTGCACTGAGCAGTCTGGCTGGTGAAAAGTTGGCACTTTCCAATGATGAATGAAACTTAGTTTGTGGAAGTCAACTATTCCTCATAATGAGAAAATCTCATAGGTCAGGGTAGCATGCTCCCCAGAGTTTCATTTCTCTCAGGTTTGCTCTTTGAGAAGTTTTCCCTCAGCCACATTCATTGTGACGTGTTTGGTGTTGGAGGGACAGGAGTTAAAAAGTTCTTTTGTAATACTCCAGCTCAGCAGATGAGGGCAGAGTCTGATGCACAACGGACGGCATCTTTAGGTTGGCACTGAGCTGTATGTTGTCAACGCTAGAGTCTTTTACAAAATGGGGTGATTATCCCAGAGGCCGGAAGAAAATTACAATTGCTTGTGCAAATTTGCTGAATTCTTCTTTTTTTTAAATGAGGCAACAGCTCTGATTAAAATCCAATCAACAACAAAGCAGATTCCGCTGGGATATACTGTATACTGTAACTTAAACACACTGCATGCATAATAGCTATGTAAAGGCAGCAAGTAGCTTAAATTTACTTAAGACCTCACCCTTGAAATCAACATCCTCAATGTCTTTTTTTCTCTTGTGAATGAAACCGTTAGTGTCTCTGATGCTTCTGTTGGCTCTTGTCAACTTTGATGATGGGAGCTGAGTGAAGATGCTGCCTCAGGAGCTTCGCCGGGTGAAAGAAATTATTCTTTTTTTCCTCACGCACAATATGTTCTGTGGCCATACACCCTGAGCCAAACATCATCTGCAGACTTATAATGTGTTGGCTTCTCATAGCTGCCTGGTTGGACTTGGAGGCATGCCGAAAGAGTAATCACACCAAGTAATCAGGAAATGCAGAAGTTTGGGAGAGGGAAAGCTGGTTGTTCATTTTTCAAAAGAATAAAACCCTCTAGATGTTGACCACGTTTGTCAGAGGAAGACCAAGTGTTCAAGAGATAGTGGGACAGAAGACAAGTGCAGATTGTTTTCTTGCCTCTGTGTCAGTCTCGATTGTTTTCAGGGTGAGCTGAGGTGAAATGCAAGAGAGGGGAACGATCTGGCCATGTGAACTGACTACAGTAGCACAAGAGATAATAGATTGATTGTATCAGCGTCTTTGAGTGTGCGTTTCTTAAAGGACAGCGAGTTGAGTTGTTAACGGCTGATGCCATACCAGTTTTGGATTAACCCCTCCTATCAAATATTATAATTATAATATAATAATATAATAATAATATCTTTCAACAGCCATTTTGAGGGTTGAAACATCCAGAGCATTAAATGATTCTCTTCTTCTAGACCTCTGTTCTTTACTGAACCTTACTGGCCGATAAAATGTCTTCACTGAAATCCCAGAGATGATATTAGGAAGATTCATAGTCCTCCATGTGAGACACATAAAAATTATATTTTCTCTCTGTCCTTTTGTTACCACTATGTCCACCAATACTACAGCTGTTACCATTATTACTACGACTTCTACTATGGCTAAAGGCTGAATCATTTTCAAACATCTAAAGTGCAGGACAAGAGTTGAAAGTCCCTATTAAATCAATTAAAAAAACTAAATTGAAATTGTATTTCAAAAGAGTGTAATCTTTACATTGTTAAGAAATTACTCAGCAACTGTTGATTTTTGTGGGCAATTAGCAAATTCACTCCGCTGTAGCTGTAGTTAATTTTGTTTTGAGCTTATTACCTTTAAAGCATGGTAATTCCAAGCTCAAGTCTCACAACTCTAGCTAGTCCTGGCAATATGCTATGCTAACATTGGGTCTAGTAACTAAAGTGAAGACAATGTTGTGGGTGGTCAGTTTTATATATATATATATATATATATAAGCATGACTTACCAGCAACATTTATGAAAATACCACCACACATTTTTCTTTTTTTTTTACTAAATTAGTCAATTTCACTCTATAAAAACAAGCCATATGTAATAAAAGGTTGAAGTGAAAAAGAAGCCTGGACATTAGGACATTAGTAAAAAGCCACTGTAATTTTTTTCAGGTTGTCATCCTGTTGAAACAAGTCAGAGTCAGACAGTCAGAGCAGTGCTGGTTGATTATACAACAAATCAAAAATCATTCATACTGTGTTAGAGGATGATGGGCACTAACCAACTGATTTTCAAAGAAAGGTCAATATTGACCTAATATTATGCAAAATCAATTCATCAGCCTAACTGCGTTTCTCCATGCGTGTGTAAGAGCATGTATTCATGATTGAATTTGTGTGTGTCCATGCAGATGCTGTGTCATGGCAGCTTGGTTGAGTGTGTAATCATGCCTCCTTGTGCCGAGGGAGGTGCACACTACCAGAGAGCCAACACTCTCTCTCGCTGTTCTCACTGATTCTTTATTATCAGCAGCAAAGTTGTACCTTGCAGAGACTTCGTCAGATTGATCTTTTAGCCACTCAATACGCTCCTTCTCCCGCAGCTAATTAATGTCCCTTGTGTTAAACACTTGTCATTGATCAGCATGGAGCAGACTTAGAGGATTCACCACTGACACAAGTGATATTTCAAAGCAGCCACCCACACAACACACAGCTTCATCCGTCTTTGGGGACCACGTAGTATCCAGAGACATGAAATGATCTGACATATAGTAGCTTTACTGTACTAGTAACCGGGGTTGTTTATTGCTAAAGTCATTTTTTCTGGCTTCATCTTTAGTTCATCTGTGATGATTCGCTGTAATTTTCTTACACTAGTCTCTTGTTTAACCTCAGTATCCTCACACAGATGCTTCTGGCAGCTCATGATGAAAACACAAATGAATTAGGATGCAGGTTTAAGAGGCGATCTCTCTCAAATGGGAGGTAAGCAGCAGCCTTAGACATGATCTGATGAACAGTGTTCATCATTCAGGTTTTCTAAGAAGTTTGCTTCAGAGTGAATATTATTGAGTTATACCTACACCATTAAGCAATATAATGATC